AGCTCACGAGCCGAAGCTCGGCTCGACCCACGAGTAATGAGCCCGGCATAAGCTCGGCTCGTGACGAGCACACGAGAGCTCGTTTGCCTCGACCAGGCTCATTGCCACCTCTACAATAAACTACTTCTTTTCCGCATGTTATAATTTACTTTCCTAGAAAAAATAAGTCAACAAATTCACTTTTTTAAAAAAGATTAATATCGCTTAATTTACGGTAAAGAATATTTTATCGATTTGTGCAATTATATAATCATGGCATATATATATATATATATATTAAAGGTCCTTGGCCAGTATCATGTCAAATTTTTAGTCGACCGACAAATAAAGGGACCCCCAACGTGAAATAAAGAAACCTTTCATAACCCCACTATGTCAAAATCAGAATTCAATTTTTCGAAATCTTCTTGGTCAAAATCCGAATCAGTTAATCATTTTGAAAAATACATCAGATCCATGAGTGTATAATAGAATTGCAAAAATATAGGGTATGTATAATGAAATTACTTCGACAAGGATCATCAACTTTGTTGACGAAGCTCGATGGTGTTAAACTTCTTCTACAACTAAGGAAAATATTTTTGTTGACCCCAAAAAATGGTTCTTTATCGTGGCCAACAAAAGATTTGAGAATCAGGTCTTTTTCGATCGGATTGCCACATATTCTACTCCAAACACTAGCTATATCCGTGAATCCTCCTGTCTTATGATGCGGCTGTCTTCTTTTATGTGGAGAGGGGGTCGACTGGTCTAAATCAAGGAAAATCCAAGTTTTTCTTTTTATTTCTAAAATTGCATTGTCCTCTACCGTCTGGAGTCTACACTTTTTATATCTCCACACGAGTGAAGGGGATCCGTCCGGGGGTAAATGATCCAAGGGTCCTTGTTAGAGTCAATCAATCAATCAAGCCATTAATACTTAGATTTCCTTATCTTGTTGGAGACCGCACTAGCAAGGCATTGTCTTGTTAATCATTTCACTGGATATTTTGTCGGTTGACTTGACAAGGCGAGCCGACGCTTTCGTTGACGGGGCTCGAATGAGAACCATTTGGGGTGAGATAGCCTTGGTACACACAGGGTCGCATGTTCGTTCTGCCACAGGTGGCTCGCCAACTTGCCACGTGGAATTTTATATTACGATTATTTATATGAGTAACAATTTTCTTTATGAGTGATAGATTTTTATTTTCTAGACAATTCACAGTTTTCAAAAAACTTTATGAGTACAATATTTTCTAAATTGAAAATTAAACCAATCGAACACGTTTATTTGAAAAATTTCATGCAGTCTGGAACTTATTTGCTCTCTAACTTAGTACATGCTTGCAATCAAACACACCCGTTTAGAGTTGTGTATAAGTAAAGATTTGGAAAAATTTGTTCGAATGAAATTTTTTAAAAATATTATCGTATTAATTCACCATAATTTCATTGATCATGATAACTTTCAACTACACATCCTAATAGACTTATAAGTATTATAAACTTATTTACTACTCATTTTTATTTGTTTATAAATTAAGCCCCTATTTGATTCACATTAAAATTTTCATTTTTATTTGTCATACATTTTCAACAACACATTTTTCAATAAAATAATATTTTTCATCACATCAGTAACTTTCCATCCTTTTTTAACCACACATTTTTCATCAATCTACTGTTCCAAAATACATTCTTCCAAAATAACGTGACTCAAACACACCCTAAACCATTTTGTAAATTCTTTCCAAACCTACGATCAGCCAAACATGGCATTAACCTCTCACAATACAGTCAAATTTGCAGGCAGGACAAACAAAGACNTTCGTCAATGGGCCGAGCCGAGCATGCCACCACTAGGTGAGATAGCCTTGGTACACATAGGGTCGCATGTTCGTTTTGCCACAGGTGGCTCGC